CTAGAAAACCCCCCATTTATATTATTTATAATCAAAGAAGTTATCTAAATTATGATCACACTTTCCAGGAAGTCTATAAGCTTCCATACAATATATATATATTATATATTTACATAGGTGAACTCGATAGGTCGGACACGGATGGCTGAACATGATGGTCCGACTTATCGAGTTGTAACACAAATTATTATTTTGTACTAAACTTAATTATTAAATTTACAACACAACTGTTTGTGTTCTATATACCACCAAGTAGCAAGAGTTTGATGTACTTGCAAAATAGGTTTTTACATTTTAACTTTAAATATCCAACTTTGAAAAAAAAATTTATTTATAAAATAATAAAAAGAATAACCATTTAATAAAACAAATGAAAGATTTTGTAAACGTTCAAATAATTATCATAGTTATTTAAAAATGTATTTAACAATGTTAATGAACTGATAATTTTATTGTTGTAAAATTATATAAAAGTTATCTTTGTTTGAATTTTACTTTAAATAATAAAAATAAAAATACAATTCTTAAAATATAAATATAAATCATAAGAAAATAAATACATAGGTAAACTCGATAAGTCGGATTTGGCTTAACTCGGACAAAATTTTTCAGCCCTTTTTTTCAATAATTAAAATCTCTTGATAAGTCGGACAACATATATAAACCTTGTTAAGCTGTAAGTCGGACGACTTCACCAGCCAGGTATAATAAATTACTCTCGATAAGTCGAAACACGTGATTTTTTGATAGACAATCTTTACTATTTTTAGTAGCATATACAAATTATTCATCATTTTCGTCATTTTCGTCATTATTTATTTTTGATGATTTAGAAATAACATTCTTGTTTGTATCGCAAACAATATATTCATAACTTATATCCATCGATTGTATCATTTATTATCTCACTGATGATTTAGAAAGAATATTCTTATTTGTATCATATGCAATATGTTTATATTTATCATTTAGAAAGAACCTTCTTGTCTGTATCGTGAACTATATTTGTATTATATATATCATTAGTTATATCATTAGTTATATCATTAGTTATATCATTTAGCAATTTGTAAAGAATATCCATTGTTATATTGCAAAACAATACATTTATGTATGTTTTAAAACAAACTAGTGTATATTCTTATTTAAATAAAGAATAGTAATTTTTTGTTTATATTCTATTTGTTTTACTAAACGTTATTCATCTTCTGTTGGTTTTATTAAATGATTATTCATCTTCTATTTATTTTATTAAACGGTTATTCATCTTCTATTTGTTTTATTAAATGGTTATTCTTTTTATTATTTTATAAATAAATATTTTTTTCAAAGTTGGATATTTAAGTTAAAATGTAAAGAACCTATTTTGCAAGTACATCAAACTCTTGCTACTTGGTTAATTATTGAATATTTTAAGCGTAGTATATAGAACGTTTACAAACAGTTGTGTTATAAATTTAAGTACAAAATAATAATTTGCGTTACAACTCGAGTCGGATCTCTTGATAAGTCGGACCATCATGTTCAGTCATCCGAGTCCGACTTATTGAGTTTACCTATGTATATTGCTTTTCAGATTTAGTAAATGTATGAGTATAAAAAATATAAAAGAAATTCTTATTTTGTTTCTGTTATCTTGTTAATATCATAATCAACTAAAACTTCTAATTTGAAAAAAGTATCAATTACAAAATCGTGCCTCAATGTATCATTACTACTACTCATTTTATCATAAAATGTAAAAGAGTTTTTTTAAAAAAAAAATTAGGAACAGAAATTATTTGAAACTCGTAATACAAACTATAACATATGGTAATTATATATTTGTTTGAGGCTGTACTTATCCTTGCTATTATTATTGATAAACAAATGTATATATCTTATATCATTGATTATATCATTTAGCAATTTGTAAAGAATATCCATTGTTATATTGCAAAACAATACATTTATGTATTTTTTAAAACAAACTAGTATAGATACTTATTTAAATAAAGAATAGTAATTTTTTGTTTATCTTCTATTTGTTTTATTAAACGTTATTTATCTTCTGTTTGTTTTATTAAATGATTATTCATCTTCTATTTATTTTATTAAACGGTTATTCATCTTCTATTTGTTTTATTAAATGGTTATTCTTTTTATTATTTTATAAATAAATATTTTTTTCAAAGTTGGATATTTAAGTTAAAATGTAAAGAACCTATTTTGCAAGTACATCAAACTCTTGCTACTTGGTTAATTATTGAATATTTTAAGCGTAGTATATAGAACGTTTACAAACAGTTGTGTTATAAATTTAAGTACAAAATAATAATTTGCGTTACAACTCGAGTCGGATCTCTTGATAAGTCGGACCATCATGTTCAGTCATCCGAGTCCGACTTATTGAGTTTACCTATGTATATTGCTTTTCAGATTTAGTAAATGTATGAGTATAAAAAATATAAAAGAAATTCTTATTTTGTTTCTGTTATCTTGTTAATATCATAATCAACTAAAACTTCTAATTTGAAAAAAGTATCAATTACAAAATCGTGCCTCAATGTATCATTACTACTACTCATTTTATCATAAAATGTAAAAGAGTTTTTTTAAAAAAAAAATTAGGAACAGAAATTATTTGAAACTCGTAATACAAACTATAACATATGGTAATTATATATTTGTTTGAGGCTGTACTTATCCTTGCTATTATTATTGATAAACAAATGTATATATCTAGAAAAATCATTTTTAATTAATATGTAAATAAGACCAATTAAGACCAATCACTTTAAGTTTTCCTATCAATGTCCCACAATACTTATCTTTAATTTACTGCATTCAATGTATGCGAAGCTTAAAGGCGATTGGGATAAGTGAATATCTGAAAATGAAGTACTCAAGAATTCAGACAAGATATTAAAAATAGATTTCATTTGACATTTAGAAAATCTACACTGCAACATGTATAATGGGTCTAATATCACATTATGATAAGAGCACACAGCTATCATCCTTGAAACAAAATTGTCCAAAAGATTTGGATAATGTAAACAAACCAAACTTTGCTTTTTATTATTATCACAAAGTATTTTAATCATAGTAATAATATTAATTATACATGTGGTTGTTACGCGCGACATCCGGATGTTACATGAACTTTCCAATACATGACATGGACCTGATCTATTGCTAAAACTGATTGGTACAGCATGATGCAGTTTAAACAATTCGAAAAAATTATACTATTACTATTGCTATAAAAAGTAAACGGTAAGGGTCCTGTAAAAAAAATTGATTCGAATGTCCAACACTATAATAATAACAGTACAAATTTTAAATTCAAATTAGATGATAATGTTACACACGCGAATTTCCTTATTAAAAATTAAAATTACAAAACAATAAATAATGCGCATTTGGAAAAGAAATGATTAAATTAGAAATCTTTTTTAATATTACTAAAAAAAAAAAAAAAAATTAAAAAATAAATACAATGAAAATTCTACTATTTTATTAACAACTTCTCCAGTAGTCTTAATAGAGATACAAGCAATTTATCAAATGGTTTTGAGGGTATATAATATGCAATTGCATCGGGTGGTTTCCTTTTGGATTATTACAATGGGTAATAACCATTTGATTTTATATATGTTTGAATACTTTACAGGGACTGATTTAGTGAAAGGTTGGTTTCATGGTGAACTCATTAGTTTACTAGGGGTCAGTATTTTTCTTTTTTGGTATCTTCATAATAAAATTATGTGTGACATTACCTCGTCGTAAAAAAAAAATAAAAACAATAAAAACAATAAATAAAAAATAAATAATAAAATGGTAAAACTCTTCCATTTTCGTTGTACTTTACCATGGCATTCTTATTACTTGAAAATCAATATTCTAAGTTTTTTATATATATATACATACATATTGTATCCTTATTCATAAGATCCGTTATTATTATTATTATATCCAGATATCTTGCTTTTCGATTTAGCAGATTAGTATTATGATGAATTTTTGGAATGAACATACCCGTTTTAAATCGAGCTTCACCGTGTTACGACACGCGCGTTATTTAAAAAGAATTGGTTATTCAGGAAACCCGTTAATCTGAAGGTGTTTGTGTAGCCATTTTCTTCGGTTTAACGGTTAAAAAGTAAAGAACTATGGTTTAATGTGATAATTTTCATATTAATATATTTACATATATTTGGATTTGTGTTTTTAAAAGTTTATTTTGACGCGGTTTGGATTAACGGGGTTACCTATTACTAAGTACTAGGGTCGATAAGGTCAACTAGGACGACGAAGCACAATGGTAAACCTAGTATTAGTCGACAAAGTAGTCTTCTAATTTCGAATTCAATTTGAATAAAAGAAAATTCCGACTCGGGAAATAATTAAATCATACCAAAACTATTCACTAGTAAATACCTATTATTTTTGTGTTATCAATTAAACTCGCTCTCCCAACCCAGAATAAAAATTGACATACATATACTAAAAAGGAATAGAACTACTAGTTTTTTTGAAAAAAATTTTCTATTTAGAGACTTAATCTCCCAATTAATGAAATTAAAAATAGAATAGTTTTTGACTTCTATACTTTTAAAGTTTGCATAGGTCTCTAGAGGCTCCGCACCGTAGTAATTTGACCTACATATTTACGCGATACAAAATTTTATGCTGGTTGTTCAATTTTAGCAGAACTTATGGAAGTACCCAACTTTGAACCTCTCAGCTCAGTATAGAGACATTTTCTGAAAATCAACCAGTAGAGTTTATCTCAATGAACAAAACTATTTGTAGATTTTCAAAATGTCTACCAGGTTGAAAGGTGTCAAAGTCAGGTGATTTATTGTATATTATTATTATATATATTTCTCTCCTAATAAATGAATGTGTGAATTTAAAAATATATAATGACATATTGTTAATATAAAGCATATGAATTTAAAAACAATCTGACGAATTCAGATTAATATTAATATTAATTTTTTCCTTAAGATTTGTCATGCGATTAAGATCACTAGATTCCCAATAGTATATCTATAAAAATAATTTATAATATTAAAAATAAAATTCAATTAGTCGAAAAAAAAAAAATAATCAAAACAATTACCATCTGGTATAACAAGATCATTTTGTTTAGTGTGGTAAGCTAAAAAATAAAAGAAAAGAAATAAATTTCTTGAAAATATATATACAATAATAGCAATAAATGATACACGGTTTAGCGGTTATCAGACCGATTTAATCAGTAAATCCATTATATTGAGAGAATTTACTCTGTTAAATCGAGACTTTTGTCAGGCACCTGCTAAATCAACGTAGTAATAATAATAACAATTTTTACCTTCTTGTTGTTCTAATAAATAAACATCATTTTATAGGTAGTTAATAAATATTTAATAAATTAATAATAGGCCAATTAAATTTAAATAATTTATTAATTCATTCATACCTCGAGAAGCATTTTTTGGAGTAGGAAGATTTGAAAAATGATGATGTTTGCTGGTGAGATCAGTGAAATTAATAGTTACTGAATAATTTATATTTTTTCTATTATTATTATAATCATTGTTGTTATCATTGTTGTCATCATTGTTGTCATCAATGTTGTTACCATCATTGTTGTTATCATTGTTGTTGTTTTCGTTTTTATCACTTTTTAAAGATTTTATTAATTCTGTAGCATTTGATAATCTGTTAAAATTATTTTTAAGGTTTCTAATAAATTTATATCTACTTTTGGAATATCTCAATTTTAAATTTTGATCTGTATTATATAAGTCTCTCAATATTTCTTTTACTTCTATCCATAAAGTTTTTGCGTCAGGTCTATTGTCAGGATTAGCATCCCAGCACTGATTTAGTAATTTTTTAAACTTTTCAGGAAATTTATTTGGAATTTTTGGTCTTATTCCATTTATGATATTTATTGCTAAATCTAAATCACGTGCTTTATTATAAAATGGTGGAATACCAGAAAAGATTTCCCAAATTATTACTCCAAAAGCATAAACATCAGATTTCTGAGAGTAATTGCCTTTAGTTATTACTTCAGGAGCCATATAAGGTAAATTACCATATATGCCTCCAATTGATTTATCTTCTGGACCACAAAGTCCCATGTCACTAATATAAAATAAACTTGCATAAGCATGAAGTAATATATTTCCAGGATGTAAATCTCTGTGAACAAATCCTAAATTATGAATTTCATTAAGATTAATCATAAGACCATGGATAATTTTGAGTTTATTAAATAAACTAAGTGAAGAATGGTTTTTGGCCATATATTCTCTTAGGTCATACTTATATTGACTTAAAATAAGCATAAATTCATTAGTTTCTGGATTTTTTGTTAATCCATAACAACCAATAACAAAATCTGAATTAATATTAATTTCACAATGTGATTTAACCTAAAAACAATTCAAAATTAATTAATAATATTATATTTTGAAATAAATTTAATTGTTAAATTTTAAATTTCAATATTACCTCATCTAACCATCTTGCATTTGTTTTTCTAAGTTCCTTAAGAACAATTGGATGATCTCCACTTCTTTCTAATCTTAACTTTTTAGAATTCCATTTAAGGTAAGGACCATCTTTAAAATTTGCAGTATATATTTTTGCATATCCCCCTTCAGTTTTATATTCAATATCACTAAACTTTTCATATGGTATCCATTCAACAATGTTACGTGGATTTAATGATCTTTTTTGAAAATTTTGAATTAATTGATCAATCTCTTCATTTCCTGATGTCCAACTATCAAATTTTTTTGTCAAATAATTTCTCATGCAAACTTCACAAAATGATTTAGCAATTACCATATTTTTACAATGTTTGCATTTTCTTTTTTTGCTGATACCATCTCTGATATTTCTCCCATCCATAAAATTATTTGCAAAATCAATTATATACTGCTTTTCAGATTTAGTATACGAATGAGTATAAAGAACATATTTTAAGCAAATTCTTATTTTGTTTTCTGTTATTCTACTAATATCATAATCAAGTAATACTTCCGATTTGAAAATACCCTCAAATATAGCGTCGTACCTCAATGAACCATCACTCATTACGATAAAGAATTTTTTTTTTAAAAAAAAAATTAGGGGATGGGAAATTAGTGATTATTATATAATTTTATTTACTATAAAAATATAAGGAAAGTAACACGATGATAATATCCAGTTCTAAGAGCCTTTTTCTTATCTCTATTTATTATAAATAAATATGCACAGCCGATCACGATGAAAAACAACAATATTAATATTCAAGCAATCGATGTAAATAATTATATAATATAAAGAATCTCGACGTTAAGTCGCTCCGAACGAATACCTTTTATGGTAAAACGGAAGTTGTGCATTGCAAAAAAAAGTTTTATGTTAAAATAAAATAAAAATAAATACAAGGGATCTTAGTGAACCCCACAAAAAAAAAAAAAAATAATAATTTACTATATAGGCCCATCGGTATTAATGGAAACGATCTAACATCCGATGAAAAAGCGCATTGAGAATTCAAAACTAAATAACCAAAATGGACCAAAACAAACATGTTCCCAATGTTTATCATAATACTTATCTGCATTCGATGGATGAGAAATAAGTTTAAAGGCGATTGGGATAGGTGTTGTCAAATGAAACTCGAGAATTCATACAAGATACTAGAATGGATTCAGCTTGAAAATTTAAATATGTCAAATATTCATTTAATGTTTGGAAAAATTACGCTGCAACGCGTATAATGGGCCCAATATCATATTATGAAAATAGCATATAGGACCGTTCTTGGGCTAAGGTTGTTCTAAAGGCATTTTTCGTGAAATTCATTTATTATTTGAAATCAGGTGAATTTCGATGAAATATTTTAATCATTAATCCAATTATTTTCAAATGCCAGGATTTATCTTATCCTTATAGGCTAATCTAGAGCCAATTGATGCACAAATGATTATTTGTTTATTTGTTTTATTTATTTATTATGTCCTATAAATAGCATAGTAAAGATTACCTAATTTTGGTAATTTGTTACAACTTCACCAATGAATAAAACAATTTTTAATGTAACGTGTGTTTTATCTACCAAATATTAGTTTAACTCGGGCCTTCAAAATGCTCCCGATCCGTCAGCAAGATTTAATCAATGTACCACTTTTATATATGGGTACGAAATCCTTATATGAATAGATGTTGATCGCTCCATAAATACATATATGTTTTGCTAATTACACGCCCTATGTGGCTTAGTTTCTGATGGTAAAATTTTTGTTTCAAGCTTTTCAATAGCTTCAGTAATTCTTTCACATGTGAAAAGTCTAGGTCTTTCTGATTCGCGTAATATAATTTTTGTTACATTACTTTTTTTAAATAAAAATTTGACTTATATTTTAAAATGTGTGAGCAGAACGTCCTATACAAAGGTGATGGGTAATAAATACAAAAGTGTTCCCAAAGAAACTGATTTTTCTATTAATGATTTTAGAACTTTAAAGTGTGTGTGTCATAAAAGAAATTTCCGAACGAATTAAAGGTCAATTTACAATTAGAAGAATTTTGCATGAAAATTTTTTTTCGTATTCCTTGAGCCAGACCTTTCATTTGGAGTGATGAAGAGTAAGTTTAGAATGATAATCTCAGGTCGTGTATAGAGAAATCCTGGAACAAGATTCAATGTTGAAAACTCTGGACTGACAGTAATGTAATAGAGTTTTTTTTTTCAGGTAAAGGATTAGGCCACTTGTGAAAATAGATGAGAAATGAATACAGCAAGCAAGCATGACGATATACAAATTCTTCAATCAAATTTGATACCTTTAATAAATAATGAGTTGAATAAATTGGATATTTATTTTGAAGATTATAATGCATCTGTTCGTGCTCTTAAAAACGTTCAAGAGTGGTTGAAATCAAACAAAATCAAGATTGGCCAAGTCGATCATCTGGCTTCAATCAAATTGAGATGGTTACAAAGACGAGTTTCCAGTTTGTTACCAATAACTTAAAGATCTTAAAGAACTTGAAACAAAATTTCTCGAGAAGTTGTTACGCGCATTCAGATACAAGACCCCGACAATCACATTAAAGGTTGCATGCAAAGTTATTAATAAATTTTAAAAACTTTATCCACTTTTGTGAATTTTTACCCACTTAAGCATATCATCTTAAATCTTCTTTACCCAGTTTTTAGCGTATCATATATCAAAAAATTAAATTTTACCCATTTAAGGATATATGTATGACCTTATTATTATAAAAGTTTGATATTATTAATATATCTATTCATTGGAAAAACTTTTATCTATTGAATTATACTTGTGGAATACAAATTAAAGGGATTAAAGAGATGAATGAAAATATATTGTATATACAACATATCTCTCCCCTATTTAAGTTTTATAATTCAATTTTTTGGCCAATGCTAAAAAGTGCCTGGTTGTTGTATTATAAAGAAATTCGGTAATTGGGCTGATCAGTATCAACATAGCACATTGTTAATGATACAAAAAAATCATTCGTACTGGTATATTGAACCTGATTGAAATCCTACTTGATCATCCGAATATTCCCATCAAAGCTGTAGAATAAAAGTGCTTAGCTTGCAAGTCATTGTTAGGTATTTAAAAAAGGTAAGATTGGAGGAGTATATTGAGAGTTCAATAGTTGATTCAAATTTTGATTTTAAAGTTACTTTCTCAACAAACAATAATTTTGACGATCCGTCTACGCAATAGTGATCGATCTGCAGGGAAATTTGACAAGAAAAACACTAACCCGCAACCTTTTAGATTTCAGAAAACGTATTTATGTATTTTTTATTGCCTTTAATTATGTAAAGAAAACATTTTTCTCTTTATGATGTGATGATTTTTGGAGTTTTTGTATTTGAAAAATCCGATTTTTGCGTAACATTATTATAAAAAAGCTTGTATTTAAATATTCTGACCAAAAATAAAAGTGATATATGAATATTATCACTCGACATTCAATTATTCGAAATATTTACGACCATTCGAAATTCAATTCATTACCAAAAGCCATCTGATGTGGTTTAATGATGGCAACAGAAATTATTTTAGCAAATCCGAAATAGTTTCTCCCATAAAAATTAGGCTCCTAAACTAGTGACGAAACTTAAAAATTGCCTAAGCCGTGGGAGAAACTCCCAAGCTGTGTGCGAAACTCCTAAGTTGTAGGTGTAACTTTTAAATTGTGGTTAAATATTTGATAAATAATAGGATTTGTCAGACATGCGACCTAGTCTCTTTCGTTTTAATAATATTCGTATTTTTATTTTATATTCGCATTTTACATTTAATATTTTTATTATTTATTTCTTATATACTGTATATATTTATTAATAGTTTATTTATTACTATTACAATCCGTCTATGAACGAGAGAATTTATATTCTATATTAATATCCCCATCACACAATAAATATTAATATTATAAAATCTTTGTGCAAAGATTAATCGTATCACTTACATTATTAACAAATCATTATTTTAAAATGACAATTGAATTTAATTGAATTTTGAAACTTGGCCATAAACGTGAAATAACCAAAAAGCTACCTTCGCACTATTCATAATAAATGCAATATAAAATCCATTTAAAAATATAAACTTTTCTTTACTCAGTATGTCTACCTTATTTTCAACTTCCAAGTTCCAAAGTATTAGTATTAGTATTAGAGAATATTAAAAAATTCTACATTCCCTATAAACTTTTTTCTCTAATACAAATAAACAAAAAAAAGTAATTGAGATTTTTTACATTTATGTATCAGTCAATATTGTAAAAAAAAATTTATGTAGTGGAACAAAAGCAGAATAATACACAGTTTTTCGCGCAAAGTTATCGGATTAGTCATCTTTGCGTTAATTTTCCCCCGTTGATCACAATGAGTAATTAATTTTTTTAAAAAAAATTTTTGAACTGTTAATTGGTTAAATAACCGATTAATTAGTTGAACAACTTGCGGATAATCTGGATTTTGCTGATTAGTTAACCAATCTCCAAGTTATTTAACAAAGTCCATTACACATCTGGAAAACAGTATCGAATATTATTGTGTGTATATTATCTGCTTAACCTTGATACTGTTTTCTGATGCAGAGTTAATAACTATAATGTTAATTATGGGAAAGAACATTTATTTACATCTTGGTTTAAAATTTATCGATTCTGACACACAGAGAAACAGCTTAAACAAACTCGCGCACGTTATCTAACCAAATTTGTTAATTATTTGGAGATAATCTCCAATTTTGTTAGATAACGTGCTTCGTGCACATAAATCATTAATTTATGCCATGTGATTTTATTTGTACCAAAGTTCACAAGCTCAAATGTTTTCAAAAGTTAAATAACCATCATTGCCAACACTGCTATGTACTCATTCATAGACGGGTCGTCAATTAATTAATTTTAAAAGAAAATATTGACATAAAATTATTACAAATAATGTCACATTGACCAAGTAAAATTTTTTTATCAATCAATTTTTGAAACAAATCGATTCTTTTTTGTTTAAATGAAATACTTTTGCGGTCGGAAATTAAACAGTATTAGCAGTGTTTAATTGTCCGTTTGGTTTTTGCGCGCAGTTTAGGAGCTTCGCCCACAGTTTAGACAATTTTAAGTTTCGTCAATTTTGCCAGAAAATTTTCATGGAGAAATTAAAGCAAATTTCTCTAAATGCCTAAACTATGGGTTAGTTTCGGCCACTATCACTAATGTATTTTGAATATACAAAAAGAGGGATTAATGAACGGAAACACTGTGGTAAAAGACTTTACTCTTGGAGGTAAGCATTACTTTTTTCATTAAATGGTAATTTTTATTGTACTCATTATGAAAAATAATTAGAGCTAGCACCAGCAATTTCTGTTGCTTAACTTTTTGTGATAAGAACTAAATCTATATATCCATGACTTAATTTGTTGGGAAGAAGGAATACTATTGTTGTTGATTTTAAAATATTAACGATTTTTCGATTTTTTTGCCAATCATTTTATCATTATATGAAAAATCCCTCACACTCTTATATTAATGGTCAATTTAAATAATCACTGGATTAAAGATATACTCATTTGGATAAGTATGGATCTTTTTTTATATTTTGTGTATATACTTTCTTTTAAATATGACTTATAAACACTTTATACGATATATTCATATATAACTTATGAAATATTTTGATAAAAATCATGTAGTTTTACCCAGAATTTTCATATGACTAGGATAAAGATTTTACCCACTCAAGCTAGATGTAACCTCTAATGTGGTTGTCCTGAAGGCCATTAATTCGTACAAAGATTCGATTTCAAGTGGTGACTTTATTAATATTAAATGCTTCCATCCACCAAATTTCTCTTTCAGTTCTGGATGTTTGAATGATAGTTACTCCTACTTTTTTTTCAATTGATCTGTATATACAATATAATGATGTATGTTGACTTTAGTCATTGACGTGACTAAAGTATTGACTAAGGTAGTTTCTCGCCAAGTCATTTTGACGATTTTACTAAAGTAAAAGCCTTTGACGTAAGTAAAACCACTTGAAGTAATTAAAATACTTGACATAAGTAAAAACGCTTGATACAAGTAAAAACACTTGATACAAGCAGCAATAATAAATAGTATTATCAAAAGTTCTAAATTATGTAAAAATGTGTTGAATAAAGAATTGTTATATCATTGTATGTATATTTGCAATGATGAAAGAATAATAATTATCATGGGAGAAATTTTACTAATTATTTTTTCTTTCAAAATAAAAATGCTTCTTCTTTTTTACAAATTAAATTATTCTTTTATTATTACATTTCATAAAATCAAATTGTATTTACATACATATGAGTTGTGTTAAATCGATGTTTTTTGACTTTTGAATTTAACTACGCGTAATAGTAATACGCAATAATACCAATAATGTGCTTGAGTTGTCTTTAGTGTCCGAATTTGAAGCAACATAAGTTAATCAATATCAGCGACCTTTACATAACACATAAAACAGTTGTCAATTAATCTGTTGGAGAAAAACTTTAGAAGCAATCAAAAAAGTTGTACGAAAAAATTGGTTTTTACATATTTTCAGTTCTCCGCAAAGAAAGGCAAGTATTTAAGCGAAAATGTAACGGTGAGTTTTGTGGAATATAGATTAGCATTACAGTGTGATGATATTCTGGCGTCATAATATTATAAACCACACGACTCAACCACATACATATATATTCGTTTGAGTATCAAAATTAGCAATAGATACAAAGTATCACATCCTATCATGTATTTATGATCAATGATGCATTCTTTAATAAAATTCATGGCTAGATGGTACACTGATTGATTAGTCTAATAAATTACAACAAAAAACATATATAAATAGACCTGCTACCCTCCTCAAAATGCAAAAAATGGTGTATTAGTTTTGCTTTTTACGTTACCTTCGAATTCGAGGATTGAGGCACATAATGATGAAATGGTGATCTATATATGATCCGGCTTTACACGTTACATTCAAATGCGAGGAATCTATGTACTCGTTCGGAGCATCAACATTAGCCAGTCATGTTTTATCTGTTGCGTTGAGCAAAAAATTTATTTATTTAAAAAAATTACATGTACAAAGGGAAATTTAATAAAAGATCCTTTGCAAAGAAGAATCCTCATGTGAATCAAAAGTTACTTACGAATTTCGATTGTTAAAAAAATCAACTAAGCTTTTTTTTTTCTTAATTAAAAAAATGATCTTTCCTTCTGTTTTATTAATTTACTCCAGATTAAAGGTCCATTGGATTTTTTTTTCAAGTCTATCGCTATAGAAGAATAAACTTCATGCAAACATCAAAAGTTATTTACTAATTTCGATTGTTAAAAAAAATCCCTTGCAAAGATTAATCAAATATTTTATTTGTTTTCTCCGAAAGGAAATTAAAATAAAAATTTTCCACGTCCCTCAAATGGTCAAAATCAAAAAAATTTGTACATATTGTTTGTTCATCTATCATTGAATTAAAATTGTCCGATAATAGTAATAACAACAAAATATTGATTTTGAATCCCGGGCTCAAGAATATATAAAACTAACACGTTCTATGACGATATGGGATCTGAGGTAAAGGCTCCAAGCCAAGGCCATAAGTTTCTGGTCATTTCAAACGGTCTGAAATGTTAGATCAAGACGAAAACTTAATGGTATACAGCGGCAGACACCACATAAAAAACATTTAAAGAGAAACACGATTTCCTTTCGCTCAAACCTGACATTTTGAACAAATAACCACAACCATTTATCATTTTTAGAAATCGAAAATATTTTCAATTTTAACAAATTAATTTCAAATCGACTCATTACCCTTTGATTTTGATTTCATCCTTCCCAACAATTAGTTGAGCAACAAAATGTATATAATATTGGTGTTTCGTTATCGCAACTGCACTAGATTTACCGTTTCAAGTCTTAACAAGTCTTCTTTATAACAAAATGTTTCAAATTTGGGTAAAATTATTAGGAAACAAAAAAAAAAGAATATATTACACAAAATATCTACATTTAGAAAGGAACCGTACGTAACACGGCTTATTATGTTAATATTAAGTAACCATTCTCATAAATATCTCACATTCATTATCTTTTATATTTTTATATAATGTCATATGCTAAACTATTATCATCATTATCATTAGAAAGAAAGGAGTTTGTATATAAAAGTTATAATGAAATACTTAGTGGTGTTCGTGTTAATGCAGTGGATAGAGAAAGTGGCAAAGATTATTTTTTTCATTGGTCAAAAAAAACAAGGAGCTTTCTGAAAATGAAAAAGAATATTGCAAAGAAAGGTTTATTTATGAGCTTGAATTAATTAGTGTAGCATATAAATTGGGAGAACCAAAAGAATGTAACAAGTGTAAATTGACAAGATACTCTGATAGGTTCTGTGAAGGTTGCATTAGTTTACAATTACAGAGTCTTTTCACCACTTGGACATCTGGAAATAACATAATTGATGATTTTATTCAACAATGTCAAATGAAATCATCTCTGCTAAAACATATTTTAGAATGGATACCATTTGACCAATTTAAAAAAGTAACAAAGTTGACAGAAGGCGGATTTAGTTCAATTTTTACTGCGGAATGAACAAGAGGAAGTATTGATGATTATGACGAAAATAAAAAGGAATTTATTTATTTTGGAGATCAAAAAGTAGTATTAAAAAGTTTAAATAATTCAAGTAATCCAGGAAAAGGCTTTTTGATGAGGTTGGTAGTTGCCATTTTAACAAATAAACAATACTGTATTATATAATACTAATTGGTTTTATATTCAATAAGCAATAAATTATTGTAAAATTAAATCAGCATTGATTGTTAAGTGCCATGGTATAACTAAATTCCCAGATAATGAAAATTATGCAATAGTTTTAAATTATTTATCAGATGGAAATTTAAGGGATTATTTACAAAAAAATCATTTAAATTTAACATTGAAAGACAGAATTACAATCTTTGATTATTTATGCGATGCATTATATCAGATACATCAGAAAGATTTAATCCATTGTGATTTACATAGTGGTAATATATTAATGAATAGAGGTAATTGTTATATTACAGATTTAGGGTTATGTGGTCCAGTTGATGAAAAGTCATCAAATAAAGTTTATGGAATTGTATCATATGTTGCACCCGAGCTCCTTAGAGGCAATAATACAAAGAACACTAAAGAATCAGATATCTATAGTGTTTGGATGTTAATGTGGGAAATATTTGCAGGTCATCCACCATTTGATGATAAAGCTCACAATCATCGTTTAATTTTTGATATATGTGAAGGTTTACGACCACCAATACTACCTGGAATGCCTGATGACTATGTGCAAATGATGCAGAAGTTTTGGGATGTGGATCCATCAAAAAGACCAACTAGTAGAGAGCTTTATCGATTTGCTTATAATAAACATAACGAAATTATTAAAAATAATAGTGATGATAATGGTAATAATACTACTAGTAGTGGTAATAGTACTTCACAACAAGCACACAAATCACATCCACATGCATATCATACAAGTAGAATATTAGATGAAGAGATTGCTAAATATAAAAGTTGTACAAGTAATAGTTCGTTAAATAATCTTGATTGTAACTCTTTTTTCTAAATGTTAACAATGGTAAATAAAATTTCTTTATTAATTAATTGGAAATTAATATCCATTAATTATTACTAACGATATTAATTGATACATTAGATTCTAGTAACAATAGTAAAGGAAAAGATGCAATGAATGACTAATTTAATCAATCTCTGCTATCTTTTTATTTATATTTTTATTTCATCCTTATTTTATTTCTCATCTTGTAACAATATTTTTGAAATAATAAACTTTTTACAATTTTTTGATTCTTTGTTAAATAGTGATATTGCGAGGTATCATTTTGGTTAATTAACAATTATGGCTTAACTTTTGGGCTACTCTTGTCAATTCAATGCTTGTCAATTAATTAATTTATGAATTTACTTTGGCTCTTTCTTGCACTTAGACGAATCTGTGAGACACTTAATGGTACCAAATAAATAAATATGGCCATTTTGCAATGCTTTCAGTTGTTTACATTTATTGGTTGATTGCAAACTCGCTTTGATAACAACTTAAATAGCTTGTTTAACAGCCTTACATTTACGATTACAATAATACTACTTCATTAACACCCGCTAGTTAACCAACATTAGTCCAAACCTTTGCTTACTCACTAAAGCAAATTATGTTATTAATCGTTGTTAACACTCACTAGTTAACCAACGTTAGTCCTAACTTTGCTTGCTTGCTCATTAAAGCAAATAAACATGGTGTTTTATCAAAGCTCCACAATTGTTACCCTTTTTACCAAAACTTGCTGCTTTTATCAAAGAAAATAAAGATAATGTTTTAATTTTAAAGGTTTATTAACGATTATTTTATTTAATGAAAATAATGATTCTATCACAGAGTTCTATTTATTTTATTAGAATGTATTATTTTCCTTTGAAGTTATGTTATTTCAAGTGAAGACCATAAGTTATCCTTAATGAAATTTTCGTTGATCAATACAATAAAGATAAAGACAAAGATGCAAAGTAATTTAATCAATCAATATTGACACTATAAAACTTCCATAATTATTTACACAGTAATAATTACCAAAGGCTTTTGCGTAAAATTTCATTTGACCCAGCTGGAACATAAAGTACCGATGATTTTATCTACTCCGATCATACATCACATTATTAATATAAGAGATGTTTGAGTTTAATAGTGTGGGAATTGAACTTTTGTATTCAGTAAAAAAAAAAACTTAGCTCCTTGGGAACAACTAATGAAACAAAGGAGGTATGTGAGCTTTTATATTTATTAGCCTTTAAACCAGCTTCACTTGATTTAATGGCAGACAGCTTTGGCAAACAACATTCGTTTGAGTATCAAAATTAGCATTAGATGCAAAGTATCGCATCCCTATCATGTATTCATGATCAATGATGCAATTTTAATAAATAGACTATTTCATGGCTAGATGGTACACTGTTTGAGTAATCTAATAAATTACATATAAATAGACCCGCTACCCCCTCAAACGGTGCATTAGTTTTGCTTTTTACGTTGCATTCGAATTCGAGGGTTGAGGCACATAATGCTGAAATGGTGTTCTTTATATGATTCGGCTTTACACGTTACATTCAAATGCGAGGTGACTATATATTTGTTCGGAGCATCAACATTAGCCAGTCATGTTTTTCTGTTGCGTTGAGCAAAAAATTTTATTTATTTAAAAAAATTACATGCACAAAGGGAAATTGTTTACGAATTTAATATTTAAATTTAATAAAAGATCCTTTGCAAAGAAAAATCCTCATGTGAATCAAAAGTTACTTACGAATTTCGATTGTTAAAAAGATCAACTAAACTTTTTTTTCTTAATTAAAAAAACAATCCTTTTGTCCTCGTATTTATTTATTTGTCCCAGATTAAAGGTCAATTGGATTTTTTTTTTCAAGTCTATCACTATAGAAGAATAAACATCATGCAAACATCAAAAGTTATTTACAAATTTTGTTTGTTAAAAGAAAAAATCCTTTGCAAAGATTAATCAATGTATTTTATTTGTTTTCTCCAAATGGTCAAAATCAAAAAAACTTTGTACATATTGTTTGTTTATCAATAATTGAATTGACCGATAATCACAATAACAACAAAGTAAAATGTAAAAAAACGTTTAAATATTTGCCCTGCCTTATATTTTTTTTTACCTTAATATATTAATAATAATACATACATCATAAAAGTTTTTTTTTTAATTAAATGCAAAGAATATACATATAAATATTTATATTATTTATACACAAATTGTCAAAAATGGCTACCAAAGATTAAAACTAACAATGATTTTTTTTTAATAATTTTTTTTTTTTTTTTGGAATAAAATTCATGGTAAAATCTGAAAATCCCCAACTTAATGTGACAAAACCAATAATTTCCCAATTTATATTGACTTTAACTCAAAAGAAATTATTGCTTTATTAATTTGTAAAAATATTCAACATTGGCATAATAAAATTTTTAAATAAATTTATTTAATTTAGTAATATAGGATTATTAGCATTTTATACCTTTATTATTGAGAAAACAATTTTATGATTAATAATCAGTTTTTTATAATTAAAAATCAGCCAACAACCATTATCCTTAAAAACATACCACAGTTCCAGATGAAGAAGCTATACGTGGCCAAAGATCTGCACATTCCTTCCCCACTGGACCTGTAATAGCTGAACCTTTCATTTCTCCTTTTGGATTTACAATAACACCAGCATTATCTTTAAAAAAATTTATTTTGTAAGTTATATTGTTGTTTTAGCAATGTATTAAAAAAAATCAATTTATTTGTTTACCTTCAAAATATAGAAAAACACCATCTCTTCTTCTCCAAGGTTTTCGTTGCCTAATAACAACAGCAGGCATAACTATAAAAATTACATTATTATTATTATAATTAAATGAAAGATATCATTTCATATATGGGGGCTTTTCAATAGAAACGGACCATGTTGTGAAAAAGCAATTTTGAGTTAATACCATTGCTATATGTAATTTCTCACGTAGAACGTTTTTGGCTTAGAAACCATGCCCACTTTGCATAGTAAAATATCGAGATACTTTTCTTTAAAATTTCAAAAACGATAGTAAACCTCTTAAAATGCGGATCTTTTTTTGATTTCCTCAAAACATCATTTTCACAAGATGGTCCATCCGTTCTATTGAAAAGCCCCCATATATATGATTAATTAATTAATTTTACCTTTTTTTCTTAAATCAGGTTTTCCTTTTTTAACAGTTGCCATAACCATATCACCAACTCCAGCTGCAGGTAATCTATTCAATCTAGCATGAATACCTTTAACTGAGATAACGTATAAATTTTTGGCTCCAGAATTATCAGCACAGTTCATCACTGCACCAACAGGCAAACCTAAGGTCATACGGAATTTGTTACCAGAAGCTATTCATTTAATTGATTCAAGTAGAAAAATTAATGAATAAAATGAATTTATTTTAAAAGAATTTATTTTTTAAAAAATTTAAATAAAAATATATTACCTCCACCACGACCTATTAAATAATAGTAATTTAATTAATCAGCAAAGTTATTATTAAAAAAGAAGTAACAGTTAATACTTTATGATTTTTTTTTACCTCTCTTAGACATTTTTGATTTTAATTAAAATTCTATTTATTTTTGTGAAGAAGGTATTCTTTTTATTAAACATCAAAAAAAAATTTTTATTTTTTCTACATTGATCTCACGTGATTTGTATATATTTTGTGGAACGGTAATATAATAAATTAGATTAAATTTAAAAATAGAAAAGTTGAAGAAATAACATTTTTATTAGATCTGATAAATTATTCATTGGTACATATGCATAATATCAATCAAGGCTTGTACATTTCTTTTAGACTTTTTGATTTAAGAAATTTAATCTTTATATTCATTTACGACATTGACATCTGCTCTCAGGCGGTCAAAATCAAAAGATAAAATGTTTTGATGACCTCCGGGAAGAGAAGCTCAACTCAATGCAACAGAGTTTTGTGAAATATAGATTAGTATTATCCAATCAGAATTCCGTACCCAAGCAAGCCATCCAAATTAAAAAAAAATTTTATTCTTACCGAATGTTCAACAAAAAAGCCTAAATATAATAACGGACCCTGATAATCAATTGATTAAATTTAAATTAGAAAAATCGTGACATCGTTTACTCTGAATGCTTTGTAATGTATTCTTGATCCTCTACGTAGCACACAGCCATCCCAGCCACTCTGCATGTTCCGCTAACTGACTAACTTTGATGAACATGATTGATGATAAGATGGATGACATCATTGGTTTTTTTTGATATATTAGACAAAAGGCAAGCGAGTAAAGAACGTTCAATTGGTTTTTTTATTTACCTTTTGAATAAATCAAAGAAATTATTTTAATACTAGATAAAAAGCAAGCGAGTAAAAAAGATTTGAGAGGCAAATCTGCTTGTTTGTTTATTCATTTATTTATTTACTCATCCCAGATTAAAGGTCAATCGGATGGATCAATTTGGAAAAATATTTTTCATACACGGGGTAAGTTTTACAAATTTCGATTGTTAAAAAAAATCAACCAAGCTTTTTTCTTTTTAATTAAAAAAAAAAAAGATCCTTCGCAAAGAAGGATCTTCATGGTAATGATTTTGTGAATCAAAAAGTAATTTATGAATTCCAATTGTTAATTAAGCTTTTTTTTAATAAAAAAATCCATTTTCAGATTAATTTTTATTAATATAATCATTTGTTTTATCCGAAAGGAAATCCAGGTCATCATCCACCATCCTTCAAATAGTCAAAATCAAAAAAAATTCTGGAAGGATCATCCATTATTTTTCAAATGGTCAAAATCAAAAACTTTTTAATTAATCAAAAAAATTATATTGTTTGTTTACGATCAGACAATAAAAAAAGTCTTTTGAATCCCGGTCTCGTGACCAATTAATATTGATACTAACAAGTCTTTGACGATCCAAGGCAAAGGCTCCCAAGACAAGGCATCAGTTTTTTGTCATTTCTGGTCATTTCAAACGGCCTGAAATGTCAGAGAAAGGCGAAGACTGATGGTAGAAACACGATTTCCAGCCAAGCATTTGCTTCTTTTTCAATCCTGACCTTGTGGACAAAAATTTTCCAGTTGCACAAACATGACAAACAGATAAATAGTAACGGGGATTCGCATATAAAAATAACCATTCATCATTTTTTTGGAAAACGAAAATGATTTGTTCAAATTTCAATTTTTGACAATTTCTAAAAAATCCAATTTGCAATCATTTTTTCAAGCCAGATCAGCAAAAAAAAGAAAAAAACGACTCATTACAATGTTTGACCCTTTGATAAATTCAGTTTACTAAAGTTGAGAAACAGGATGTTTAAAAGATTCGGATTCCGTTACCGTAACTGCGCTGAACATTAACAGTCACAGGACATGTCACGGGAGTTGTAAAACAGTAAATTTTTTGATGTAGCAGCCACCGCCAAATTTGAGATATACTGTAACTTCTTTATCATATGCACCTGCTTTAAGAAATTTTTTAAAGCAGGTTTTTAATAAAACCGAAAATAATCTGACCCTCAAATACAAATTTTGCTATATATATAGTACTAGAAAGTAACATTGCAACCTCCCGAGTTGCAACTTCTTAGTTACAGACTATTTCATGGCTAGATGATACACTGATTGATTAAACTAATAAATACTACCACAAACATATAAATAGACCCGCTACCCCCTAAAAAAATGCAAAAAAGGATGCATTGATTTTGCTTTTTTACGTTGCATTCGAATTCGAGGGCCGAGGTATGTAGTGCTGAAATGGTGTTCTATATATGATTCGGCTTTACGCGTTACATTTAAATACGAGGTAACTATATATTCGTTCGGAGCATCAACATTAGCCAGTCATGTTTTTATTCGTTGCGTCGAGCAAAAAATTTATTTATTTAAAAAATTACATACACAAAGGGAAATTGTTCACGAACTTAATAAATTTAATATAGATCCTTTGCAAAGAAGAACCTTCATGTGGATCAAAAGTTGCTTGCGAATTTCGATTGTTAAAAAAAACAACTAAAAAAAGATCTCTTTGTCCCCGTATTTATTTATTTATCCCAAATTGGATCAATTGAATTTTTTTTTCAAGTCTATCGCTATAGAAGAAGAAACCTCATGCAAAAATCAAAAGTTATTTACAAATTTCGTTTGTTAACCCCCCCCCCCCCTCGCAAAGACTAATTAATGGGTTTTATTTGTTTTCTCCGAAAGGAAATTAAAAAATAAAATTTTTTCGTCAAAATCAAAAAATTGTTTTTTTAATTCAACACTACATATTGTTTGTTTATCGATCATGAATTGAAATTGACCGATAATAATAATAATAACAAAATATTGATTTTGAATCCCAGACTCGAAAATATACTAGCACTAACACATTGAATGACAAGTCTTTGATGATTTGGGATCTGAGGTAAAGGCTCCAAGGCGGGGCCATAAGTTTTTGGTCATTTCAAACGGTCTGAAATGTCAGAGCAAGACGAAAACCTAATGGTAGACACCACACAAAAACCATTTAAAGAGAAACACGATTTCCTTTCGCTCAATCCTGACGTTTGAACAAAATAATCACAACCATTCATCGTTTTTGGAAAACAAAATACTTCAATTTTAACAAATTAATTTCAAACCAAATTTGCAAATCATTTCAGTGCAGCAAAAAAAAAAAACGACTCATTACCCTTTGATTTTGATTTCATCCTTTACCAACAATTCAGTTTACTAAAGTTGAGAAACAAAATGCTTAGAAAATTCGTGATTCCTTACCGTAATTGCACTTGCACTGGATTTATCGTCTCAAGTCTTTAACAAGCCTTCTTTATAACAGAATGTTTCCTGTGAATTCAAATTTGGGCAAAAACACAAAATATAAAAATCTACGACATTTAGAAAGAAATCTTTCTTTTATGCATGTTAATATTAATATTAGGAAATAATGTAACCGAAAAATCTCTGCATTTATTAAAACACCAAGTCTAATTTTATATTTTATATTTTGTATAATGTCATATGTTAAACTATTATCATCGTTATCACAAGAAAGAGAGGATTTTGTAGATAAAATTTATGGTGAAATACTTGATGTTGCTGATGTCAATTCTGAAAGAGAAAGTAGAAAAGATTATTTTTGTTCATTTGTCAAAAAAACAAGGAGCTTTCTGAAAATGAAAAAGAATATTGCAAAGAAAGATATATTTATAATTTTGAATTAAAAAGTGCAAGAGTTAAATTAGGCAAATCACAAGAATGTAACAAGTGTAAATTGACAAGATACTCTGATAGGTTCTGTGAAGGTTGTATTAGTTTACATTTACAGAGTCTTTTCACCACTTGGACATCTGGAAATAACATAATTGATGATTTTATTCAACAATGTCAAATGAAATCATCTCTGCCAGGCTATATTTTAGAATGGATACCTTTTGAGCAATTTGAAGAAGTGACAAAGTTGACAGAAGGTGGATTTAGTTCAATTTATACTGCTACATGGATAAGGGGAAGTATTGATGATTACAACGAAAATAAAAAGGAATTTAGTTATTTTGGAAAGGAAAATGTAGTATTAAAAAGTTTAAACAATTCAAGTAAGCAAAGGTTTTTGGACTAATGTTGGTTAACTAGTGGGTGTTAATGAAGTAGTATTATTGTAATCGTAAATATAAGACTGTTAAACAAGCTACTCAATTTGTTTTGCAAGTAAACCAAAACGAGTTTGCAATCGGCCAATAAATGTAAACAAGGGCAAAACTGAAAGCATTGCAAAAGGACCATCTTTATTTATTTGGTACGACATAAAGTGTGCTCACAGATTTGTCCAAGTGCAAGAAGGAACCAAAGTAAATTCGTAAATTAATTAATTGAATTGACAAGAGTAGCCCAAAAGTCAAGCCATAATTGTTAATTAACCAAAATGATACCTCGAAATATCATTATTTAACAAGAATCAAAAAATTGTAAAAAAGTTTATTATTTCAAAATATTGTTATAAAATAAGAAATAAAATAAGGATGAAATAAAAAGATAAATAAAAAGAAGATAATAAATTTATAGCAGAGATTAAATTAGTCATTCATTGCATCTTTTCTTTTACTATTGTTACTAGAATTTAACATATTAATTAATATCGTTAGTAATAATTAATGAATAATAATTTTCAATTAATTAATAATGAAATTTTATTCACCTTTGTTAACATTTAGAAAAAAGAGTTACAATCAAGATTATTTAACGAACTATTACTTGTATAATTTTTCAAGCTTTTAAATTTAGCAATCTCTTCATCTAATATTCTACTTGTATGATATGCATCTGGATGTGGTTTGTATGCTTGTTGCGAATCATTACTACTGCTACTAGTAGTATTATTACCATTATTATTTTTAATAATTTCTTCAAATTTTTTATCAGCAAAAAGAAACAGCTCTCCAATAGTTGGTCTTTTTGATGGATCCGCATCCCAGCACCTCTGCATCATTTGCACATAATCATCAGGCATTCCAGGTAATATTGGTGGTCGTAAACCTTTTGCACATATATCAAAAATCAAACAATGATTGTGACCTCTA